CCTGGCCCCCCACAGGGGCCCTGAGCAAAGCAGACAGGGAAGGAGCCCTGGGGGGCCAGGCAGGCCGACCTCATCAGCACCTCTCCTATAGGGAAACCTTGGGAGGAGGATCTGACATCTTAGTGGACAGAGGACCACAGGGCAGAAACCAGGGGAGCCAGGGCAGGGAGCCTCCTGAGACAGCCCAGACTTGGAAGGGCCAGAGGAGATGCAGCCGCAGAGAGGCACAAGGCCTCGGGGAAGCCGGCAGCTGCCCTGGAGCTCCATGCAGTGCAGCTCACTCATTTAGGAACAATAAACATGAAAACAGCTTCCCTACAGACAAGGGGAAGTGGAACCAATCTCCCTGTGTGAGAATCTTCCAACCTGTGATGACCATCAACATGGAAAGGGGACCACAGAGTCGAAACATAAGACCTCAGGCAAGGGCAGAACACAGGAGCATGCGAAATGACAACTGGCAGAACACGGGATCGAAAAGGCAGAACCACCACATGTAAATGCAGCCTGATTACAGACGCCAAGAGGCAGTCAAGACTCACAGAAAGCATAGTAGACACACAGAGGATGGAAACGAGCAGAGAATCTAACAAAAAAGGAAAGAAATGTTCAGAGGGAAATCAACAGGCAAGAAGGTAGATAGGAGAACCAGCTCCGCCTCCCCGCACCTTGCTGGAGTCCCAGAAGAAGAAAACCAAAACAGTGGCTCCAACAAATGTTTTAAATATATTTCAAGAAGAACTCCTAGAAATAATGCAAGACGGCAATCATCACATTTGAAGAGCGTCCATAGCATCAGGGAAACTGACCCACAGAGGCCAGCATGCAGACACAGCACAGTAAAATCAGCACAGGCAATGTGACCAGTTCACTTATGATATGAGACCAAGACATGCCAGAACCCACTCTCTAGACAGAGGAGTGCAGGAACCTAAAAGATGCTCAAGGAAAAACAGTGAACTGAAAATGTCACCCTCTGTTGTCCTTCACGATGAAAGGCCACAGACTGTTCTGAACAAGAAAAAACTTGGGGAGTGTGGTTCATGGGAGCAGTGTTGTGAACTAGAGGGACATCCAGGCAGGACAGCTTTGCAAAAGAACTAGTGAGCACTAAACATGTTCATCCGCAGACTAAGACAAAAATCAAGCAGGGGATGAGGACAGCAGAGCACAGTGTCCATGTCACATGCCTAACCATGGAGAAAGCACCTGTACATGCATGTGCACACATGCTCACAGGCAGGAGTAGATGAATGAGCACGAGCCCCGACAGCCTCATCGGAACAGCTGGGGATCACAGGGCGTCCTTAACAGCTGACAAGCCCTGCAGGAGGAACGCATGATGGAAGCCAAAGGCACACACCAGAAGAGGTGACAGAGAAACTACTGACTACAGATGGGGCCACAGTGGGAGGAAAGAAGGGGCATCTAGAGACTTGA